CTCCGAGATCCCTTTCCGCTTCCGTGCCACCCAGCAGGTCATTCCCTAGGCTGTAGGTGTGCTGGACATTTTTCCTCCCTAGGTGCAGCACTTTGCATTTCTCCTTGTTGAACTGCATTCTGTTGTTTTCTGCCCACTTGTCTAACCTGTCCAGGTCTGCTTGTAGTTGTTCCCTGCCCTCCGGCGTGTCCACATCCCCCCATAGCTTTGTGTCATCTGCAAACTTGGACAGAGTACATTTCACTCCCTCGTCCAAGTCGCTGATGAAGACATTAAAGAGTATCGGTCCAAGGACCGAGCCCTGCAGGACCCCACTGCCCACACCCTTCCAGGTCGAAACCGACCCATCTACCACGACTCTCTGGGTGCGACCCTCCAGCCAATTCGCCACCCACCGGACTGTGTAGTCATCCAAATCACAGCCTCTTAACTTGTTCACCAGTATGGGGTGGGATACCGTATCGAAGGCCTTCCTGAAGTCTAAGTATACGACATCCACCCCTCCTCCTGTGTCCAGGCGTTTCGTAACCTGGTCATAAAAAGAGACTAGATTGGTCAGGCACAATCTGCCTGCCACGAACCCGTGCTGGTTTCCCCTTAGCATAATTTGTCCTGCCGGGCTCTCACAAATGTGAGCCTTGATAATTTTTTCAAAGACTTTGCTAAGGATGGAGGTGAGACTGACTGGCCTATAGTTGCCCGGGTCCTCCTTCCTTCCCTTTTTGAAAATGGGGACCACATTGGCCCTTTTCCAGTCCTCTGGGACTTGTCCCGTGCGCCACGAGCTTTCAAATATTCCCGCCAGTGGCTCTGCAATGATGTCGGCCAGTGCCTTCAGCACCCTCAGATGGAGCTCATCCGGGCCTGCTGACTTAAAGGCATCCAGTTCTTCCAATATATCCAACAGATGAGTCTGTTGATCTCTCGATTATGCCTATATGAGGAGCAAAAAATTAAGTGCTAGATCGATCAGTCCATTAAATTCTAACAAGATCTAATGATTTAAATTTAAGGTAGGTACATTCAGACTGCAAGTAAGGCATAACGTTTTTAACAGGCAGGGTAATTAACTTCTGGAACAACTTACCAGGGTTGAAGTGATTTCCCATCACTAGCAAATTTTAAATCAAGCTCAGATGTTTTTCCTAAAAGACACACACTAATTCAAACAATTAATTCAGGGAAGTCCTGTGACCTATGTTATGCAGGAGGTCAGAATACAATGTGATCACAATAGCCCCTTTTGGTCGTAATCTATGATTCTATAAATAGGTTGGAGTCCCTTAAGAAAGTCAGCGATTATTTTTATCTTGGGTTTTCCCAAAGAATTATGGGGGAAAAAAATTGGACTGTAGGAAGATCAAAATTAATAAGTTTGCAAGAATTGTTCCTAGCAAAATTAGGGCAAGATTCAAGAAGCCAAACTATAATTTTAAAGCTATTTCATCATTAATTACAACAAACAACAGGTCTGATCCTAATGGAGTCAAGGGAAATTTTGCCATAAGGCTGTTAGAGAATACACCTTTGCAAATTAAGGACCTAGATCTGGAGTTCTTCTCCCTTAGGCAGAATTCCAAATTAAGCTAGCATGAGTTTTGCCTGAATGAGAATTTCAGATACTGTCCCTAAAAAAAATGCATTCAATGAAGGAAAAATATCAAATTTTGTTATATTTTGTCAACAGTAAGGAGACAACTAATTGCTATACATATCAAAGTAGCGAAATAAGGTACAGCAGCATGGATGTGTGTGGTGAATGGTGATTTTTTAATGTGATCATTAGCATCCATTTGGTTTCTATAGGATATATTAAATGTGACTATTTTACCACACTTTGGGTATATAACCTCTGCACACTTGCCCTCTAAAGAACATCTAGTCCAATCCCCTACAATGACACAAGATCAAACATATCTAAGTTACCGACTTTAAGAATCGTATACTATAGAAAATCATCTTGAGAGCAATAACCCCAGAATGCCGTATAATAGCATGGCTGTAGTGTAACTGAGTGGGGACCAGGGTAGCAGCCTTGGGTGCTGCCTATGTGAGGGGGTGCAAAAATAGTCACCACTGCAGCTGTGGCTGACTATTGTTGCAATGGGGGAACAATGGCCAGGCAAGAGTCTGCAGGCTGTACAACCCTTCATGGGTTGTATCTAGCCTGTGGGCTGTAAGTTAGACAGTTGTGTTCTAAATGAAACTATTCAGTTAATTCAAGTTGACAAAAATGGTAGTTTTTGGTACATAAAGTACTACTCAAATAAATATGCCCAATTTTAATTGAAAGCCTACTGGTCAACTGAAAGCAGACTGTCAATTCTTGGTATCTAATCCCATCTTCAGTGAATTCAGTAGCAAAATTTCAACTTAATTTCATAATGGGTACAGAATCAAACTTCTGGATAGAGCAGTCTTAAACATTTTTTAAAAGCTTATTGTCAGGGAATTTGTAGATGATCATTTGCATCTTACCACCGTTATGAAAGAGATATTTCCAAAGACACTGGAAAACATCCAAAAAACCTTTGTGCTGAATGTTCAAGTCAGTGTAAACCATGTCAACCCAGAGAATAAAAAAGTGTATAGCTCTGCAGTACCATACACTTCTCTTTGAAGGTGGAAAAAGGTTACATCACTCAGACAATAGGTCTAACAATAACAAAAAAAGGAGGTAGGTATTAGAAAGAGAGGACACCTCACAGGCAGAGATTTAGTGGGACTGTGTTATAAATGTGAGCCACAGGAAAAATTAGACATATTCCTGTATCAAAGTTCTAATAAGGAGATGCCACACATAGCTTAAAAGATAAAAGGACTGTATTATTGCAGAAGCCTTTTATATTAAGTTGATATGCTCTACAACAGGGGTCAGTCATATATGGTCTGTGAAGCCACTAGATCTGGCCTGAGGAGCTTTGCCCATACTGTGGCCAGGCAGCAGGAGTGGGGTTATCTTGCTAGAGGGTCTTGCTCTTCCACTCAGGGTCAGTCCAATTAGTCATATCTGGAGTCTGGAATGAATTTTACCCCATGGTCAAATTATTGTGGACTGTGGAGATTTTTGCCTCTCTAGTGGGGGCATGGCCCTTTTCCTGGGATCCCTCAAGTATATTTTAACAACCTTTGGAGCAGTAGGATGTTGGTTGCTGTAGTCTCCCCTGCGTTATCTGTGGCACATTAGGGTGTTAGGTCTTGTTTTGTGTCTGGCTTGACTGTAGTTTTGCTACATTAGATAATAGATTTGTATAGAATGGTCTGCTTAGGGATAATCCTCCCACAGGAGGTTGGATTACATGACCTCTAGGGACTCTTACTTTGCTTCTATGGTGTTTGATAGTTTGCCCCCACCAGACTGCCAGACCTATGGCTTAAAATCCCTTCAAAGGATACTAGGGGGGAGGGGAAATCAAGTTAAGATCAATTTTTTTTTTTTTTGCTGGCAACGATTTTCTAATACAGATATTTAAGTTCCAAAGCAGTGACATAATTTAACTCACAGATGTTTCTCCCATTGAAAGGGAAAGGTCCTGGGGAAAGGCCAAGGAAGCACCATAAGGCCAAAGCTAATCTTTATGCTGTGTTGTTATTGCTCAACTGAAACAAATGGAGGGTTCTACCCAAGTTTCTCAGTGTAAGGAACACAAGGCAGAAATTTACACTTGACATTACCATGTTTTTCCAGAGGGAAACTTGCTGCTTTATGGAGAAGGCTTCATCCTACCAAACTAGTGAATCCTCTTTGACATGTCTGGATACCAAGGAAGACGCTAGTAGAGTATGCATTCAAAGGCCCTTTTTGTCCGACTTTCAGCCTCTCAAATCTTCTTGAAGGGACATGGTTTGGAGTAAATTGTGCTAATCTGTACTATGGGTTTTTTTGGAGAAGGTGGGCAGACCAAGAACAAAGTGGAGTTCAGCTGGCTTCTTCGCTACCAATAGATCAGGATCACCATAAAGCCCTGGCAGAGAAGGTACCAGAGAGCTGAGAGGAAGGAGGAGAATTCCATGACACTCTCCAGTATACTCCTGCCCCTGCCAGATCCCATTACTTAGGACTCTACTCTACTTAAGGAAATGCAAGGGAAAACAGTGCCCAAAGGCAGCTTCGAGTGAAAGCTAATTTTGAGATGCAGAAGACAACAAATTTAAATCAACTGTACATGGGGAAAACAGACAAGTAAACAGTAATAATTTATAAGTTAACCAAAAAACATGACCATGTTTATCTCCAATTGGTGAGTTCAGTAACTTCAAACCTTTAACTCTATCCAAACAATTGTAGCATTTCTGAAAGTATTCAAACAATTACGAAAAATCTCTCCTTTTTTCTTGTAACCACCAAATAGGTCATGGGGAAATGTCAAAAGCTTACTTAAGTCCTGTGAAACTCTTCCAAGATGTGTAACTATTGTAGAATTCCACTAGAGCTACAGAAAGTTGGAGCTGTATAAATGCATTCTGAACAAATGCAGAATATGAAAAACTATGATATGCAAAAGTGTGTGCTTGCAGAGGCACAAATAGTAGCATCACAGTGCACTCCCCTGCATGTGTGCTTTGTTGCGGGACACTATCTTACTTTGGACAAACTGCACATGCCCAGCTCCAGGTGTGCTGGAGCAGTTGGGGTACAAATGGAAGAGCAAACTGTGCATGCCCACATGTGGGGACACGACCCCCGACTACTGAAAACCATGAGAGAGTTTTGGTTCTACATCAAATTCCATAGCCTGAACACATGCAAGTTAACTAACTGGTTCTCCAAGACAGACGCAGGATGGATGTATCTAAGGAATTACGTTTTATTAAAGTGAAAAACAGTTAATGATACCACCGAACAGGATGGAGTGATGGGCAAACCAACTACCCTCAACCTGTCTAAAGGAGTGGGTGGGAAGTCACAAAAGCAGCAACATAATGAACATAATGAAATGAAGGGGGAAGGACAAAAAAAGGGAAAGGGAAGAAATCTGCACTCACTGTGGTTCTGGGTCAGTATATTTGGCATAATTTGTAACATAGTATACACCATGTTTTCTAGATTTTCAGATCATAGGTTAGTTGTTCTTAACCCAGGTTATTTATAAGTATAAAGAACTCTGGGATTCTTAATCCCAAATTTAGGACACTCTCTAAAAATGTTTTCTACAGTCTTCAGGACAAGGGATCATAGATATTTGTTTTGTATAACTTAGGATGTACCAGCATCACATTCCTCATTTCTATGGATATGTGTATCTAACATGAAATCATAGAGACACAATATGTGCTGAAGTTGGAGTGTATGCAGAAGAAGCTCACTTTTTCTGAATTTTGAGAACACGTAGGCAGTAAATCAAATGTTCTCCGTGTTCTGTATCTGCCTTTGCAAACAGACCACAGAGGATATTTCCTTCCTTTTCTTGAAATGGAAAATCAAGTCACATATCAAGTAAAGTATGTATGACAGCTAGCCAATTTGAGACAGTAACATGATTCTGACTCTGGGGCTCCTGTTACCTTCTGGAGGGCCCTTCTTCATTCCTACAGGATCATTCAGCATTTGAAATACCTGAGGACTGTTCTACATCACAATATGCACCACTGTCAGTTTGAGTAATAAAACAAAATCTTAAAATCAGGAATATCTGAAGAGCTTTATCCCTCTGATCTCTTGTGTTTAGCAATTACATGATAAATAGGCATGAACTACAAAATCATTCGCTTTGTGTCATAAATAGATTTGGATAGAATCGCAAGCCTTCCACTGAATCGTCTCTGCAAAGATGTCCCATCTTTTCAGCTAGCAGCAGTCTGGAGAAAAGAAAGAATGTTTGTAATATCAGTTAAGGAAAACATGATGATCAAAAAGGTATTACAAATTACCAGTATTATTTACCTCTCTTTGGCCAAAAGAACCGACATTCCCACCAGCTTGGCAAATTCTTCAGCTGTGAGAGAACCCTTTTCAGATACCTATCAAGGAGAAATTTAAAGCATTAAGATTGTATTGATGTTTTCCTCTCTACTACTGAATGAAACAATTTCTCAATTCCTTTATTACTTTTAACCCTGTGAACTGGAAGTGGGCTAAATTGGTAACAAAATCCTAATGAAGACTAAGAAGTGTATCTGCATTTTCTGTTAAAAAAAATAAGCAGTTTCTTTCCGTTATATCAATTAGTGCCCTGAAAACTTGCTGAATATGAAAAAGTACAGGAGTTACTAAAACAAATGACATTACAAAGCATTTTCTTCCAGACTCTCTGAAAAGATATCTTAGGAGAAGTGGGTGGGTAAGTTAATACAGCCCAGAGACAGCAACACAGATGTGCAATCAGTATTTACACTGCACAGTCATAGTAAGCAATTTTGTAAACAATGACATTTAGGAAAAGAAATAAAAGGCAGCAGAGTTGGAGGGCTCATCAATTTAGAAATTGTAGTCGCTCACGAAGAAAGTAGAAAATTGGAGCTGATTAATTTAAATAGCTCACTCCCAATACCAACTTCTGAAAACTACCGTTCTTCCCTAAGTCTCAGGATTTAAGTATAGGAGAAGCCATGGTTTCTTGCTAATAAATTGTTCTGTTCTTTCTCCATTTTTGCGGATCCAAGCAGTTTTCTGTACATAAACAATGTGTCTTCTCCTGGCACCCACATAAAATTTGCAGGGTCTTCTTCTGTAGTATCCTCAACAATTTCCAATTTTGTTGTAGCCTTCTCAGGGCAAACTGGACCTCAAATCTAGGTTTTGTAAAAGCAAACTGCCAAAAGTCAGTGTTACAAGTACTTTGCATAACTTAACATGAACTATGTATTATTATGACTTTTCTTCTCTAAATGTTAGCCTAATCTGAACTGACTTAAACATCCATGTATTTTTGCCTTTCTACCTCACCTGCCACTCAAAACATTTAACTTCTCTGAAACCTCAGACTGAATTCCTTTCCTTTCCCTCAAACATTCTCTGTTACTATATCTTACTGTACACTGGGAGGTTACATTAAAGCAACGGCAAGCAACATTTTTAGGCAGGGTGCCAAAAACACCCACCACCTTGACTTGTAAGATGTTGGAGTGCCAGGGGTGGATGGTGAGGGAGCCACAAGGGACCACATCCTTATTGTGACAGTGCAGCCCTGGCCCCTTCCCCACCGTCCACCCCAAGGCACATGCCAAGCCAAATGCCTTCGCGTGTCACATTCTACCCCTGCATTTGAGTGTGCTCCCGGCTACATGTTTTATCTCATCTTTTGCTTTCCCTCTTATTTCAAATTATTTCTCCACCCACACCTCACATTTGTTCCCTTGGTATTGTCATAACCCAAAGGTATGATTTTGTGTGCGCTTTGGCACTAGAATTATTCCCGCTAAATTGCAGCTTCGTTGCACGATGGAGTTTTCTGCTGCAGAGGAGGACCCCGGTGCAAGGGAGAATTTCCCGCCAATTTGTAGCTTCCTTTGCAGGGTGCATTTCTCAAGTTGCAACAAAAATGCACGGTGCAAAGGAGTTCCCGCCACCCGCATGCAAATTTGTTCTCCGCTATTGGCTAGTTCTAAATTATTCCCACGTGGCGGCTAACGATTGGCCTGCTAGCCGTATAAGAGGCTTTAGAAACCCTGTGTGAGATTCAGAGGAGTTTGGCGACCTGATCCACCGCCCACCTCTTTCCGTCTTCGAGTGATAATATTTTTTAAGACGTATCTACGAGGTTTCTATTTTGGTGGCGCGCTTGTCCAGGGCATCTGGAGCTCTGTTTCCGTGGAGCCTAGCAAACTCCATATGATTGTTCGTGTCGTTTTGTTTGTAACTGCAACTCAAGCAAGTTTTCCAGCCTGCACCACAACCATCTTCGGTGTAAGTAAACAATCTTTAAATCTACCATTACGAGTCCGTGCCTAATTCTAGTGTGTCGCCCGTTCTCTCCGACCCCACATGCCCGGGCTGCTGGCCACAGCCCGCGCAGAGCACAAAAAAGGGCCCGGCTCACACCCGGCCCGCACAGGTCTTTCTACTTTTATTCAGATCTTCTCCAATGCTGCTACTTATGTCTGGGACATCATTTACCTGGATACACTAATATCCAGGTTTATTAATTCAAACCTCATGTGTAAAAAAATATTTGTTTATGAATCCAAAGCCTAGTTTTATGTTAAAAATATGACCAATCCATCATGTGATCAGCCTGTGTATTATATGGCTAACCTTATTTCATAGATTTCATAGACATTAGGGCTGGAAGGGACCTCGGAAGATCATCGAGTCCAGCCCCCTGCCCAAAGGGCAGGAAGTCAGCTGGGGTCATAGGATCCCAGCAAGATGAGCATCCAGTTTCATCTTGAAGGTGCTCAATGAAGGCGCTTGAACCACCTCCGGTGGCAGGCTGTTCCAGACCTTGGGGGCTCGGACAGTAAAGAAATTCTTCCTTATGTCCAGCCTGAAACGATCTTGAAGTAGTTTGTGACCATTTGACCTCATCATTTATAATGTGCCTGCTTAAAATGGAAGTTTCTGGACAAGCAATCCATTTTGTATAACACAGAACAATTTTACTAATGCAACAAACAAATAATGAAATCAACTAAAAATCAGCTAGGAACAACAGTAAAACTGACTACGCAATTTTCAAGAAATGAATTAAAAATAAAAAATATTTAGTCTAAATTCTTACTTGTATTATGACATTTCTTTTAAAATTTTGCAAATTTTGACCCCCAAATCCTTTTAGTCAAGTAATGTGGTTCTGCAGGTTTGCCTTAATACATTTGGAGGAGTCCACTTCCAAGTTTCAAGTATAATTAATGCATCTGGTAGCACTAAATGTCCTTATTTGACAGAATTTCCTTCTTTTATATAGACTGACTTGTATATGCTCGCTTTGTGAAAAACAATAGTGTGAGCCATGCCCAAAACATGAAGGGAAAAAACCTCCACTGCAGACGATATGGTAATTAAGTATGAAAACAGCATACGTGACACAAATTATGCAAATTGTACCACCACTTTCTGCCTAATCCAGATTACTTCTATGAACTACCTTTTAAGATGGACAGTTTCTTCACAAACTGGATATAAAATATAGATTGTACATACAGGGCACATCCAGGGCACGTCTGGTGTGCACATGTGGTTTGTGGTGCTGTAGACCTGTCTGCGTTGCTGCAAACCATACGCATCACACATGCAGGCATTCGCAGAACTAATTTGCAGGATGGTGGGCTTTTTTGATACCAGGAGATCCTGGTGTCAAAAGAACCTGCACCAGAAAAAAGCGGGGCGGTGCACATGGTAGCAGTGTGCGTTGTCCAAAACTGGAGCCTGGCCAGCCAGAACCAGGCTCTGGCTGCTGGCCAGGCTTTGTGCATCCAGATCACTGCCACTCGAACCCCAGAATGCCCCCAGGTAAGGTGCCCAGGTGCTAGCCCCAGCCTCTCCTACCCCATCTGGAGCATTTCTCCCTGAGCTAACTGTGCAGGGGCGTGTTGGGGCAAAAAGGTGCAACATGAATTTGTGCCACTGCTGCTCCCAGCCGCCCGTGGCAACCACACACCCCTGACTATGGGAACATGGCGACAATGGGCTGTTATCATACCAAACCAAAACAAATAATCTATACCTACATTTAAAATCTCCTTTCAAATTTTAAAACACATGGTTCACAGTCAGAAATGCAATTTTGCTAATTTATGGGACCCAATACAAATAAGATGTTCCTACTATGCAAACAGTTTGGAGAAAGATGTAAGGTAATGAAGTTTGAAAAGTCTTCTAAAAAGACTTGCTCCTTAGGCAGTGACCAGTAATGAAAATTAATGTCTGCATAGCACACTGGAGATGAAAAGTGCTATTAACTATAGAAGTATTATTGTTACATGATCTTGCCAGCACAGAATTCTGTACTTCAAAAGCTCAAAAGGAAATCCTGAACCTTAAGTTTTACACCTAATGTGCCTAAGTTTCCCTAGCAGACAAATTAGTGAAGGAAATGAGGGTCACATACTGTCTCTAAAGCAGAAGCAACCATTTCCTCTTCATTGTGAGATTGGAGTTCAATTACCATCACACCACTGTCAAACACACAAAGTCTGAAATCAAAACAGAAAGACAACGCAGTTAAAAATGTGCGCATTAATGACCTGTAGTATCTTCCTAAATTAATTAAATAAAATGTAACAGGTAACTGAACAGAGTAAAGAGATGTGTTAATGTTCCACCAAAGTTTATGTTTCAGTCTGCAAATATCAAATGTAGTCAATTGGTATAAGAAAAATAGCAACTTAAAACATATTTTAAATTTGAAATGATCACATAATTTAGCTTTCATTAAATGTGAGCGGACCCTGCTCAGACTATAATGACAGTGGAGTTATGCAAGTTTTGGTGCGATTAAACACCTCTTCAGAGAAACCCAATGAAATTACTTCTGTTAGGCTACAGGGACAGCATCTATGGAGAGGAAATACGGTCCAGTGGTGAGGATGCTAGACTGAGACAAAGGACCTACACCAGGGTTGGGCAAAATGCAGCCCGCCAGGCCATTCTATTTGGCCCACGGGGCCCCTAAAAAATTTAGAAAATTAATATTTATCTGCCCCTGGCTGCCTGTCATGCAGCCCTCGATGGCCTGCCAAAACACAGTAAGCAGCCCTCTGCCCGAAATAATTGCCCGCCCCTGACCTACACCCCAACTCCCTGATCCTCTCCTCTGCACACTCTTTGTGTAACATGTACTAATAGTTTAAACCAAGTTGCTTAAATGCACTTAAGGTTCCTGAATGCCTGAGGGCATCTGGGCCAGTTTTTCTGTCTCAGTTCCTCATCTGGAGAACGTACGTATCTACACTTACAGCGAAAAAGGATCAATAAAAATTGAAGAGTGGAACACACTCAAAAACTAGAGCAGTGAGGACCACAGAAGTAGGGGCAATCATCACTTTCTATCTATCAAACTTAAATTATACTAAACGAAATGCAGATATAGGTCTACATTTTGCATCGATATAGATTTTGAAGGACTGCCATTTAAGACTAGCTAATTTTGTTCAAAGTACTCCAGGATTCATGACCACTTTTTTATAGAAATAGCTTGAAGACAAATCTTACCTTATGGGTAATTTCAATGACACTAACATCTTACACGCATTTACTAAATCTTCAGGTGAAAGCAACTATTTGAAAAAAACAAAACAAACCACAACATATTTACTCATACTTTATATGGTATATACTTTTGCATGCATTAAGAAACAAAATGAACAACTCTAAATATAAAAATAGTAGCATGTGCAGGTATGTAGTGGAAGACTGTTTTTGGATTGCTTTCTTCATGTCATTCCTTATTTTTTCTAAGCCTTTTAACTCCCTTTTCCATTCTCTCATAATTTTTCTTTATATTCTCTCTCATTGTGGCTTCTGTCTTAAAATACTTTATTTCATTAATATTTTCTCATTTCTTTTAGGATTTAAAAATCTGTCCCTGTAGTGTTCTTTCGTGTGAGGACAGACTCCCCCTTTTCAGATGTTTTGTTTTCTCATGCTGGCTTTCCTTTCTTGGCATTACAACAGTGCCGCTTCAGCATGACATACGATGGAGGAGGGTAAGAGTAAACAATGGAGGGGAGGGAAAAGGGAAGGAAGAACACACCTCAACGTTTTTCATTACAAGACTGGCAAAACATTCTTCATTTTATATCACTGGGGGAGAGTCTGATTTATCTGACACTTCTTCTTTGAAGTAGTTTAGCAGGCAGAGTTTGTCAAAAACAAAATATCAGTGAATCAGTTCCTTACCTCCAATCCTCGAGCACGATTTACAAGACAGTAAACCTCTGTAAGTGACATGATTCCCCCTCGTTCCTGTGTAAACATGAGACTGCTAAGTGAGGTATTATTTATCTAGAACAAGTGTGTCAAAGATATGGCCTGCAGGATGGATCCGGGTCCTGGAACCCTACAATTCAGACTGAAGGTCTCAGACCGACTCTGTATACCACATACAGAGCATACCAGCCCTGGCCCCGCTCACTACATGTGGTACATATTGCTATTCTGGCAAATGCTACATGCAGCATGCAGGGCTGGACCCACTGCTGCAGGCACTGCATGCAGCACAGGGGGCTGCTCCAGGCTGTGTGCTGCATGCAGTGCCCAGCTGGGCTAGCCCTGTATGCTAGGTTTGGAGCTGGTCCAGATCAGGTCCATAGATTAGCCCCATGCATCAGAGCCAGTACACAGGGCTGGGCTCGCATGGGTGCTACATGCAGCATGTGCCCTATGAGACCTCTAAGTGAGGTATGTATTATTTATTTAAAACAGGAGTGTCAAAGATATGGCCTGCAGGATGGGTCCATGTATGAGCTGTGAACAAACAGTGGCTAGTGCATGCTGCACACTGTGCTGGTTCGGGGCTCTCAATGCATGAGGTGCCCATGCTAACTCTGGTGTGTGGGGCTGGTTGGTGGCTTGAATTGGCTTGCAGACTGGCCATGGCCATTAACTGATTTATATGCTCTTCACATTTTCAAAATTGGTATCACAACCATAAGTTATAAAGAAGGATTAGGGGTCCCCCCCAAAAATAAGAGCTTAAATTTGATGACAAAGCATGAACACTGCAACTGCAAAATATACAGGGGCCTACAAGCAGGAAACAACTGCTGAGTGCAAATTTTGAAGAAGTGCTCCACACAGTACATCCTTTTTAGGATGAGAAATCATTATCACAAATTAACTCTTTGTAATACTTTAAGTACTCAGCCCTTTAAGAGAACCAGCATTCAGAAGAGGCAAAGAGATGCCTCCTCTAAAATAATAGTATAACCTTTCATTTTTTGAAACGTGAAACCTTAGGAGGCACATTGTCAAGGTCCACAATCACGGAAACACATTTGCATTGAATATCGTCAATATGCACAGAAAAAACAACAGGTGCTTTACCTCTAATGGTGCCTGTAGGATTCCAGCTAGTTGTTTTGCCAGTTGCATATGGTAATGTGTACCAGATCCATAGGTTTCCCTGGTGACTGGATTAGCTATACCCATGCTCAATAAATAGGATTTAAACCTGATAGTCTAAACGAAAAGAAAAACAAGTTACATCAGTAACTGGCCAGTTCTATGTTTTTTTACTTAAACCTTTATTCCTATAATGAATTTTGGTGTGCTACTGAGAGACTAGAAAATAAACAAACAGCAATTATTAGGCACAATATATAATTTATTAAAATGGAGGCAAGCTCAAACCCTGAACTTTTTAACAATTTACAGGGGACTTATTAATCAGAAAGGAAAAGAAGAAAATGGTCACCATCCTCTACATAATGGAGCCAACCGCTCTAGCTGTTTTTAAACCAAACAAGGGAAAAAGGACAGACATCAAGGGTGCTTGCAGATGTAAAAAAATATATATATTTTTTTAAATGGTGCTTTACTTGAAACTTGGTGCGTTCGTGTGCCAAGCCCCACACATGCCCAGAAGAGGCAGCATATTACTTCAACCTGGCTTGCCTTACATCAGTGTAGATTGGGTGCTTCAGTGGGGCTTTTTTGGTGCTTTTCTCTTTTAGCTAAAGTGGCAAAAAGCCCCACTGGAGCATCTGATCTATACAGACACTGCAGAGCTGGACTGAAGTAACATGTTGCTTCTTCTGGTAAGGCACTTTTTTTGGTTTGTTTTTTTAGCTTCTGCAAGCAGCCAAATCTCTGTAATCACTTCAGATGACTAGTTACATCTGAAGCAAAGGCCTCTGACTAGAGTCTTTTCTCTCTAATGCCTTGAAACCTTTTCATTAAGTAAAAAGAAAAAACTGCACATTAATAAAATGTTCCTTATTTGCATTACAGCTACTACCACAGTACACCTTTAGTTGATATTTCTATTAATTCCAGAAAGAAAGCTCACTTACCTCATCTTCTGTGATGTCACCTTGTTTTTCTTTAATTTTGTTAGCTATTGACTTGGATAATTCCACCATTTCCTTGGCCTATCAAGATATACAAGCAAATATATAAACTTTTGGAAGTGCGCATTTGGAGAATCTGGTTAAAAGTTAGATAACTCATAAATTCAGAAACATAAATAATACATCCATACCTTTTCCATTAGTTTACTGAGGTCTTCAAAAGCCTGAAATGGAACATGGACATTGTAAAGTTGTCTGTCTAAAGAAATAAAGTGCTCTAACAACTGAAGAATTTTCCCAATTCTTTTCCCAATTTTCCCAGAATGTCCAAGAGTTTTGACATATATCATACCACATAATATTTCAAACTATACATCATTAATAATAATTATTTATGTAATAATACATACAATTATGTTATACAATTATGATCCACACGACAGAGTTACTTTTCCTTCCCAGGGATCACAAGATCAAAATTAGAAAGGAACAAAGTATTCAAGAAAATATTAAGTTCCTATGATTTTCTGCATGGAGGGAATTTACTACATTTATACTTGATACTGATGTACAAATGCATAATGGAGAAAAGCTAATTATTAGTTAAATTATGATATTACAAAAAAAGTCTCAGTTAAACCTAGGTTAAACTCAGGTCCAACAAGTGAGTTATTAGATAAAAGGCACCCTCTGATAAAATATGTAATTGCTGGACCTAATAAGACAAATGATGTAATAAAGCAAAAGGAAAATTATAGTATTTCTATGAAATATCAGATTTCCACTGCAATGAGTATTTATGGAATTTTTGATAAAAAACAAATGTTTGTATTTCTGGGTTGTTTGTTTTTTTAAACACTATGAATTTTTAAAAGGAAAAGTTATTTTAACCAACTTTGGAAGTCACAAATACAGCATTCAAGCTCTAAAGACCACAAATCAGACATAAGAGAAAAACGAAATTATTTCATTTAAAAGGAAATTATACCAATAAAAACAATAAACTACTGTTACCAAGACAGAGACATTTATAGTTCCATGTCTCTTTTTTATAAGTACTTTTTCACCGATTTGCTAATTTGCCAAATTCAGTAATTTACAATACATCCCCCAGTCACTAGTTTGAATTAGGGACCTTCTAATGTATTTTAATACTGTATCAAATAAAAAGTCTTCTACCCAGGATTTTAGCAATCTCAGTAACATTCATGGAAATATCACACATCGGAAAAACCTTGGATTTAGCTAATACATAGTAAGTTGTGTATTAATTCCTCCTCTGACCAATTCAGTCAGGGTTAGCCTGAAAACAAAGGGGAATGTGCACACACCTAACAGGAACTTCCTCAGATAAACAAAAGGCTAAAGAACTGGATTCTTATCAGCAGTGAACAGCAGATGCAGGAAACCTTTTTCTGGAACCCAGGGCACCATTTTTAAAGCAAATCATTTATAACATTTAAAGCTGGAGGAAGTCAGGATTTCACAAATCCTGCTTCTTCTGTGCTCATACCACACACACACAAAAGGACTTCTTTTAATCCTTGTCGAAGTCACAGAGGAAAAAATAACCAGACAATATCTTTTGAACCACACACACAGCTTCATTCATTACATTGTACATAAAAGAAAAAAACATCTTTAATGTTTGCAATAACTGAAGGATCACACTATTCATGAAGTAGGTAAAATTTCTGGTAAATTAGATCTGAAAGATTTCTTTTTATTCTGATATACTGTGAGGATCACAGAGTTTCCTATTCAGGAATTATTCAGTAATGAGTTAATTTGTGACAAGTTTTGATGCTTAAAGAGTAATCTTTATTACTTAGACAGATCAAGTTTATTTTCTCTTTTAAGACAGTCTTCTGCTTGGGATATCCATTAGTTGTTTTGTTGAAATGACTTCTGGTACAGAAAGAAGAGTGCAGAGGAGGGAAGATCAACATTCTATTGCTCATTACACATCATTCATATCTTGGCCAAACAGTTTTGCAGAGATTTCTATACAATCTTATTATTCTTGTGTGTGTTATTGTACATATTGCCGTAATCATAAAATAGATACATTTAAAAACTGAAAAATGAATGTTAGACATAAACGTGCTGTACATTTACTGTACTATATTCTTTGAACGTAGAAAAAAAATCTTAGACCAAGGGATCTTCTAAATCACTGATTCTCAACCGAAGTGTTGCAGCACCCTGGAGTGCCTTAAAATCATTTCAAGGGCACCACACAATGTTAGCAGTTAGGTGTGCAAACATAATTCACATAATAAATCCAGAGGTTAGGAATTTATAGTGTTAAAAGGACTGTGACTGGGTGTGGCCTTTGAATTATTTGCAATAGAAGAACTGCTCTTATTTTTCTGTACTCAAAAATGAGTGAAAAATAAGAGCTGACATTTTTGAGGGGCGCCTTGAGTCTAAAAAGGTTGAGAATGACTGTTCCAAATAAACATCTAATCCTCAACTGAATTTTAATTAATTAGCCCTTCTTTGAGAGAACAAATATTATTCTGGTTCCTTTCTGCAGAACATTGTTTGTTCTGGTTCTCTCAATGAAAGGCCATTGAACTCTGCCTTTCAACTCTATTGAAATTCATTTTATAAGCACCCAAAAACATTTGGCTCCTAAGAATGTCTTTCTTGAAAGAGATTAAGTGAAATATTCTTAATTACCTTGGATAAGCCTGTTAAATAGAGTACATAACTGTAAAGGATGCCCCTGTAATTAGTGCAGATTTAAAAACCTCTATATAATGAAATATTCACAGCTGCATCCAGAATAAAGTATGAATGAATGAAAACAGTTCTGACAGGTGGCTGGCCTTGAAACTTGAGTAGTATTTACCTCAGAAATATTTTTGTCAGTCTCTTTTCTCTTTTCTTCTAATTTCCTTTCAATGCCTACAATTCCTACAGCTCTTATTCTTCCTGCCTGCAAAAGAAAATAGTTTAAAGAATCAGAGGGGAAATATTAAATTACCCACCTCACTATGTAACTGTTTATATTTACAGTGGAGGAAAACTTCCCACAAAAGAACTAATCAAATGTAAAGATTGCCAGTGTTACACATTATACTGTTTCCCGAATGATATTCCTGGAGTCAAGGTCATAGTTTATCACTGAACAATGAAAGCATAGCGTGTATAATAGATGTACTATACGAAGGACACTATCTTAAGTTTTATTTAAATTGTTAATATAATTACAGTACATAACCTCTGTCATGCAATACAGAGGCAACTCAATGGCAGCTCAACTCTGGGATAGGGCCAGAGAGTCACAGGACAGCAACAGATGATGCAAAAGGGAAACAAAGATTGCAAACATGTTGAAGGATGTAAGTGCAATTCAGAAGGATCTCAACAAATTGGAAAGTTGGGTGAGAGCTAATAGGATGAAGATCAGTGCAGACAGAGACAAGGTGGTGCACCTCAGGAGGAATAATCAAAAACATAAATATAAAATAGGTGACACTTGGCTGCATGGCAGCACTATGGAAAAGAAACTGGGAGTCTTGGTGGATCACAGACTCAATACGAGGCTGCTGCATGATACAGCCGCACAAAATGCATTAATAGAGACATTAGGGCCAAGGACAGAAATTATGCATAAACCGGTATAAGTGATTGGAAACTGGTGCAACTCTGTAACACACCAGAAGTTCAGTGCATGTAAACCACTTTCTAAATGGCTTAAATGAATTTAAGATAAGCCTGGATGGATATAGGATCAGACTTAACTGATTCAGGTTAAATCGGTGTATTGAACTTTTGTCTCAGATTACCAGATTCAAGTTAACTCACAGTCCACCAGCATCCCAGGATGCTTGGCACCTCTCCTGCATGTTAATGATTTGAGAATTGAAAGCTTTTTGAGCAAATTTGCAGAGGACACAGCACTGGGAATGACTGAGAACATATTGAAGGACAAGAGGAAAATGAGAAGGATCTTGACAGACTGGAAAGCTGTGATGGAGCTAACTGGATGAAGTGCAATGGGAACAAATGCAAGGTGCTACACTTCAGGAAGAATAATCAAAAATACAAATACAAAATGGGTGACACTTGGCTGAATTGTAGTATTATGGAGAAGGATCTGGTAGTCTTGGTAGATCACAGACTCCATATGAACCTGCAGTGCAATTCAACTGCACAAAAGACAAATGAAGTTTTGGGATGTATCCACAGAAACTTTAGATTCAAGATACTGCAAGTGATAATGCATCTCTACTCTGCATTGGTTAGGCCTCACCTAGGACAGCGTTCCTCAACCTGTGGTTCACGACCTAAAAGTGGGTCACAAGAATATAAGAAAGGGTCATAAACAAACTTTAAAAATTATATTCTTTTAAAGGAGAAAAATGTGGGAAGCCATGGGTTTCCCCTTGCACGCTCCCAGAGTTCCAGCCTGCAAGGGGCTGCTTGCGGGTGGATAGGCACAATCAGACAGGGGGTGCCACTTGCATGTGGCAGCCATGCGGCATGGAGAACAGCTCCTACAGCTCTTTACAGGTAAGTCTATATGGGGTGGGATGGGCACAGTCAATGCAATTGGGGGTGTAGGGGGAAACACGTGCGCCCCCCCCCAGATTTGTGCACCCACAGTGGGCACAGGGCTGCAGTCTGGCTCCAGACCAGCACAAGCAGGAGCTACCTTTGCAGCCCAGCAGGTAGGACCCTGCATGAGAACAGAGCAAAGCAGTGAGACTCACTGCTGGGACCCCTGCGCCAGCCATGCTGCCAGCAACAGAAGTAATGGACC